GTTTGAGGCAGTTGAGAAAACAACATGTAAATACACGCTTCCACTGTGTCTGCCGTCTCCTTGGCCTCAGTTACTCTGAGCATGCAGCGGCACATGTGCTTATGAGCTGGCAAGATCCAGAACCACAGTACTTCAGGCAAATACAAATGGAAATGAGCACTGTATTAGAAATACAATTTTGCATATGTCATATTAAAATACCCCACAAACACAAAACGCAGCCCTTCGCCTCCAACTCTCCCACTGAAAGCAAACAGTGGTGCTCAAGCCTTGGTTCTGGATTTGTTCCAGTAAAATCTAGTCACGCTTCTCTTTGATCTTATTTTAATGTCTTTCATTTCAAGGAATTGTTTTAATGGCGTGATCTGAAACTCTTCAGAGCCATAGGAACCCAGTACACTCAAGCATAATCAGTCCTAAAGAGATATGCATTATGCATATCTGCTTTATTAAAATTGGAACGGGAAGAATCAGTCTTCACACTAGCAGTCTTATTGTACTGGAATTTCTTTGTTTTCTATTTCTGTGCTCTAACGCTTATAAAATAAATAAATAGAGCAACATTATTGGACTCTAGGAATTTAGCACACTTGCAGCATACATTAGCAGCTGGGCATTTTACAGCAGGAGTGACTTGTGTGCAGCAGCAATTTTTCTGGACCATTGTAGGCTACCCTGGGTAAGAGCAGTGGGTTTGTTTTTTAATAGAGCTGACAAAAGTTATGTAGAGTACATTTCCAGAAGGTTTGCAGCAAACCTATGTAGATAATGGTTTCAAGCTCTGCAGAAGGTTGCTTTGCAGAGGGTGCCACAGATCCAGAAAAGCTTTTAAAGACATGGAGCAGACTATTACAGTAGCTCCAGCTCTGCAGCTCCTGTGGTGCAGCCTCAACTGCTGTCAGTAATGTTCCCTGGCTTCTGCAGCTGTAATCTCTCTTCTGGGCCCTTAGGGTATTTCAAGACTAACTTTGCAAGGAGGAAAAATAGCTTTTTTAATATGCTTGATCCCATGGTGTGAAATATTCTCCCATAAGCTCTACTAGTGGTCTTCTAAAAGCTCCCGTCCTTGAGTTGGCCTGTGCTCCCTTTCCCTGCGTATCAGATTTCACGGCAGTGCTTGTGCATCCTGGCTGCAGAGGTGTTTGGGGACCTTTCCCTGGGCTCTCTGTGAGGTTTTTGCAACCTCTCAGCTGCAAGGGTCCACAGGCATTTCAGGCGTCTTCTTAAGCCAATCTTAAAGCTCCTTGGGCACAGAAGGCCTTGCAAGGCGGATACAAGCTTAAAGCAGTAGTAGCAGCTGGCTCCAAGTGGTTATGTAGGCTTTCAGCCCTAGGGAGAGAAAATCAGTCATCAAAGTTGTCTTGGTCATTGCATCTCCAACGATACTTAGAAGAGATTAAACAAATATTACTGTCTCTTCCAGCTGAGTTGTGATTTAGAATTTTCTTCCTGATCAGTGTCTTAAACCCTTTACTGAACAGGAATGAGGTGTCTGCCTTGTTTTGGTGGAGAAAACAGAATGTGTTGTCGTTTGACCTGATGGAAATTTGAATGGTCTTTTACGCAGATGAAATGTTAGCGTATTACATGACAGATACACTGAAAAATGAGTGAGAGTCCTTTTGGTTTGGGTCCTGGACAAACATGCCAAGGAGGCAGAATCTGCCTTTGTGAGTTACTGCAATAAAGTAGAAATTTGGAGGAAGAGGTATTATCAAGAGTCTCTAGTTAGCAAAACTTGAGGAGACAGCAGATCTTGTCCAAACTTGCATAACTAGCCCATATCAAAGCCAAGAAAGAAATAAAATCTTCTGACTGCATTCTGTGTGTTCATCCTCATGAGGCCATTTCTCTGGGGTTTCATTTTTTTCCTTAAACAGGGAAAATGAAGGCTCTCTTTAGTCCCTGGGGTGCCACGGTATGGTCTCCCGCTACTCTTGAATGTTCTGCTTTCAGCACTGGAATGTTTCTGTGCTTGCTGCTTGCTCAAGGATTTAAGCCATTTATTTTGTTTGTTTATAATAGAATTCTGGTGGGAAGGCAGATGTTACGTGGGAAAGCTATTTTCCGGATCTGTTTATCCACGTTATGTGGAATCTCTCAGACCACCAGTAGCAAGGAGCTATTAGGCATCAGCTTTGAGATATCGGCACTTTTAGAAGAATCAATGTATTAGTTCTTGTAAGCAGCTTAGCAGCAAAAATAGTGATTTCTTGGCATCCCTTCGGCTTGGTGTTTAAAATGGACATGAGTATGTCTTTGTTTCTACATAGTGATTTGACCTTTTGAAATACTGGTATTTTAGGAAATGGTCTGTATTTTTTCATGTCTGACAATAAACAGCTGACTTTAATTCCTAAAATACATCATCTAAGCAATACTTAGCTATGAAGAGCTGGTTCTAAATAAATGTCATTTGAATGCCTGTATTCAAAATTAAAAAGAAAGGTTTTCACTTTCAGCCATCTTTCTGTACCCTGGCATCTCAGGGTTCTTCAAGGAACTTAGCAATTAAATTGTATGCTCTTACAGCAGCAGAATAGCTGAAAAGGGCAGGTCTTCAAGTTCCAAAGAATTCCTGTTTCCAAATACAATCTTCAAGAGCTGGCCTTCATCTCTCTTCTGCTGATTCTTTCCAGCACTCATTTCACAACAGGCTGAATTCACAAATTCTTAAGAGTTAGGAGGAAACAAATTAACATATTAATGCTTTATCAGGAAAGAGTCCTAATTAGAGTATCCATGCACCTGTGAAGACTGGAAAGCTTCTTACTCTGGGGTATCTGTTATTCTTGCCAAGAATCTGTAGGCTTGCAAATTGCCAATGCTGCATGTGTTATAAGTGCAAAGTAAACACTGTAGAAAGGCAATTTTTGCATTTTCTTCTTGTTCAGCCAAAGAGGTGAGACATAGATGGAAAATACTTTCCTCCTTAGGGGGGTGATGACTACAAGACTAGAACAGGCTTTTTTTATTATTTGAAGAAAATATATATAAGCACACAGTGCAGCATGTGTTTGAAAAAAGGAAAAATTTTAATTATTTTGGGATTGCCTTGACAGTTTGTGTCTGAATGCCTTTGGGGGAGCATCCCTCCCAGGCTGCAGTGCAGGGCAGACTGCAGCCTGGCTGCCAAGATGCAAGGCACCTTCAGCCTTGCTCCCCCTTGCAGCACTCTGCATGGGCTCTTGGTGTGAAATCAGCCTGTTTCCTAGGATGTCTGCTCTGTTCTAGGCTCGGATGCATGTGGGGAAATGTTTTGCAGAAGGTTTCTGGCCAGCTCCAAAAGAGAGGAGAAAGTATGTGTTGTTTAGAAATGATGAGTCGTGCGCCCAGTTAGCAAAGTATTGAGTTTCATTGTAGCACCAGTTGTGTTATGAGGTGTGAGCAGCGGCTGCTTCTTTTTCATCCCATGTATAGTACACTGCAAGGATGAACTATGAGAGTCTCTAGAAGCCTCATGCTACTTGTTTTATCATTGCAGTCTGATTGCTTCAGCTCTGTTTTAAATGGGACAGAAAATGCCATGTGAGTTCACAGCTTGCCTGTGTGTATGCATGCTATGGAAGACAGGATATCTTGCTCTCCTAGTTTTCTGCTTAGGATCAAATTTGTTTAGTATTTAGCAGAAAATTGCTATAGATGTGAAAGTTAGGGAAGGGTTACAGCACTTGTTATTATGAATTTGTGACTGCAGCTTTGGAGGTAATTTGGTGCTCTCTTGAACCTGTTGGTGAGTAACTCAGACTCCTTGTCTCTCTGTTTCAATTTACAAATGAATATTATAGCACTTCCTTATAACGAAAATTGTGTGGATAAATCCAAATAGTGATTGTGAGGTGTTAAAGTGACATAGGGTAAGAGCCATTTAAAATCATACATCTATGTAAAAAACATTGTTTTTCTTCAGGAGTTACTAGCAAGAGTAATCCAAAAAACAGGAACCTGTGGCTTTTGTGTTATAGCCTTTATACCTCCCAGGGAGTCCCTGATTATTGGAAAACCATGTTTCACCAGGTGTTAATTTTTTATTTCCCGTTTGTGGAACGAGATACCAAACACTTGGGGTTTCATTAATCTTTGATTGGTATCTGCAGGCAAGGTGGGATGAGGTTGGGGCATTTCTTGCCACTCTTGTGTATTTAAATGCAGCCCCTGCAGCTGGTGGGAGGCACAGAGTGCTGCGGGGCACCCAGCAGTAGGCTTGACGAAGACAGGGTAATTGTGTCATGTGCTGACATGGTAATCAGGGTGCACATATCGGTCTTCACTCAGCTCGGTGGTGAATGGGACCTAACAGAGTGAAACAACACATTACCCCATCTGCTTTCCAAGGGTAATGGCAAGTACGTTTAGAAGCTGGAAATACAAATTACACTTCAAGTCCACTGAGGAGCCCTGGCAGGACTTCGCCCGACTTGAATCCTGACAGTTAATCTCTCCATTGACAAAAACCTGTCAGAGGTTATTAGCCTTCAGATTTCTTCACTGTGAAGCTCTTCTCTGCCTGAGGCTTTGAAGAGATTGCATGAAGCTCCTCCTCGGGTGGAGGAGTGCAGTCAAATTCTGGCTTTGCCCTTATGTGGTTTTGTGTGAGTGCCCAAAGGCTGCAGCAAAGCTTATATGACATTTGCCATGCAGATGGAGTCAGTACTTTGTGAACATCAGTGTACTT